AAACGGCCATTCGGATCCACTCGAATTTCGAGCTTGTCCATAAACTCGGTTTAAAGCACGAAAACAAGAAAGCCAGCCTTTTCGGATAAGGGAAATTTGTTTCTCAACCCGGTGTGACCCAGTTTTCACGGATATCTACCATCTCAAAGGAAACTTTCTTCCTTTCTTCATTTTATTTTATTTTATTTCTTTCTTTTCCTTTTCATTCAACGATAACGATCGAGAATAGGCAATCGTGCAAATGTAACTTTTATCTCGATTCGCCCAACTCCTTTCGAGGTTTATTGGTTACATTTTTTTAACGCATTTGAGTCGCTTTAGGAAAATATATTTAGTAATGTTATTCGTTTTATTTCTTTCGAAATATTATTATTATTTCACTGCGAAATATTTACATAATTTTATAATTAATGTATGCACAACATTCTATATTACAACTCGTTCCATAACTTTATAATATTAAAAAAAAAAAAAAACAAACCAATTTCAACCAAAACTTCACCCCAATCAATCCCCAATTAAAAAAGTTTAGCTTCAACAACTTTTCCAACTTTCCTCCCAACCAAAAGAAATATCAATTCCTCCTACGTTCTCGAAAGTTCAAAAATCTTTCATCTAACTTCTACACAAATCAACAAGAAAAGAAAGAAAAAGAATATGATTGGTTTCACAACTCGAGCGGAGGAAGAAAACTGAAGAATCGTTCTTCGACCAAAGTCTTCTTGGGGCCTTGCGACCAGTCTACCGTGAACGCGATTCCGTCCTCTTCTTGAAAACTCACCCTCCTCCTCCTCCCTTACCACCCTCGCTTTCCCTTCCCTTCTTTCGTTCGACCGACCCTCGCCGTTAGGTTAATGGAACGCATTGCCACAAACGACGGGAAAGTTAAGGCCGTTTCCGATTGCAAATGGACCGAAGGCAAATCGCACCGGTGACGACGATTCGTCCAATTCGAGGGGATGACGATCGCGCAGGTACGCGCAGAGAGAAAAGATGTTCCACTCGAAAAGGATCGTTTCAATTATTTATTCGATTATTCGTGATTGTTTCGTGACGAATACCGATATTTCGTGGAAATAATACCGATCAGTGTGGAAATAATATGGAAATGGTTTAACGGAATGTTCGAGGTGAAAGTTGGTTGTTCTTGGTGAAAGAAAGGGATAGTGGAGGTGGAGGGAGAGTTGTCGAAGATTCAACCTGTTGCCAAGAGATGTGTAGGTGGAAATTGGAGAAATCGAGAGGGAAACGAAATCTGGAATTCGGTTACCCTTCTTCTTCCTCGTGTCGTTTGGAATTGGATCTTTCAGGTATTTGCTCGTATTTGGTGTCTATTTAGGGTCTCTTAATTCCTTATTTCTTTTTATTATTATTATTATATTATATTATATCAACGTGTGGGTGAATAATATTTATCGCGTGTTGAGATAGAAATTTGAAGATATAATTGAGAAATAAATATTGTAATGGATTCGTTTTCTACTGTGACAAGTAAAATTGTCTAGTTCGTTTTAAAATATCTTCCGATTTTTACACTTTCGTTTCACCTTTCGCTCGAAACAATTCGACGAAAACTAAGCCAATCTTCGATATCCGTTTCGTTTTCAATTAATCGTTCCGCGTTTTCCTTCTCAAAGGGAAAATATTTCCCTCGTCCCTTAGAGAGGAGAAATATTCGAGTTTAGAAGTGACATTCCGAGAGTTCTTCCAACAGGAAACGGAAGAGAATTCAAAGGAGGAGGTGCAACGCGGTATTTATCTTCGAATAAAATATCGAGCCAGAGGAAGCTCTCTCTCTCTCTCTCTCTCTCTCTCTCTCTCTAGGCGAAAAGCAGAGACGAAGCCTTTCTGTCGCCTTGGAATGAAACCCTTCTCGTTATTGCTTGTTTATTCCGTTGTTTCGCGCGCCATGAACGAGGAACGCGTTTCCAGCGCGCACAACAAAATGCATTTCGTGTGAATTTCTCATTTTTCGAAACGAGATATTGTTTTTTTTTTTTCTTACAGAAAAATTTATAGAAAACGCAATTACATTCGTCGTGAAATACTTTTCCACGATCGATTATACGATTTCGCAATAAAGTACAAATTGATATATTAATTTTAACTTTATCGAAAATTAAAATACTCGGAAAAGTAACGGCCGAGAATTAATTAAATCTCGCGCGATTTCCGCCCCATTTCCGGAATGCAATTCTAACAAAAGAGAAAGTTAACAAGAAAAACGAAATTTTCCACGGGAAATTGTGCACATAATTGGCAATATCGTTGCATTAGCATTTCGCTAAAAATTCAGAGCGGGGCAATGTCAACCGGGATTGTTCTCTCAAGAGCCCTAAGAAGCTCTCACCTGTTCTCCCTTTCAATTCACTTTCACGGGTAATTTGGTTCGCGAAAAACGTTCGCTCTGGTCTCTCTTACGTTTTCCTTTTTATAAAACCCAACATACGTGAAACAACTTTTTGTATCATTTTGTAACAATGAACAAGTTATTTGAAATTCGATAATTATTTCTTCATTATTAATTATAATACGTAACCACGAAATGTTAGAATAACATTAGAAAAATTTTTCTAATTAATAATTTACCTTACCGTTCATTGTATATAAAATTAAACAGCTAACATTTAATCGTGAAATTTACATTCACCAATTATTCCATTCATATCAAATCGAATTCAATTAACAATTACCGATTAAGTATGCAACGATATGCAACAACGAACTAATCATCGATCATAATTGCTATTTCCATTCACGATCATTATTCTTTCGATGTATATAATAAATTTTGCAATATTTTGCACGCAAAGGGGGTGGTGGTGTAAGTTTAACGAAGAAACGTAGAATTACGATCGAACGACATCTCCATCGCAATCTCCACCCCTGAACAATTTTATCTCCTGTATTCGTTACAAATAATAGGCTATTTCCTCGACAACCACTTGGAACGTAGTACTACGCGTGTTGCTCGAGTGGCGTTGAAACGAGTTGCAATCGTTACGGCAACCCTTTCCTCCGAACTTGTCGAACGCGCCATGTGGCGCGAAATAACATTTGAAAATTGTAGGACAACACCGAATCTGAAATTTGACGAGAGTGGAAAGAATGGAGAAAAGTAGAAGGGGAGCGGTATTCAACCCTTTGTCCGTTGGACAATGGAAAATTAATAAGGAACAGAGAAAAAGAGAAGTTGAGAAAGTTTGAAATGTAAAATTGTCTCGAAAGGCGACGCGAAGAAAGTTTGAAAGGATTTGGACATTGGGTGAAAATTGTCCCGGAGAAATTTTTCAACGCGACGAGGAAGGCTGGAACAAAAATTCAAATAACTCCGATGAAATTTCCCCGCAAGTTGCGGCCAACTCTCTCGCCAACAGTTACACCATAGAACACCTTTCTTAAACTTCTTCCTTTTTCTCCCTTATATTTACAGGAACAGGATAAAAGCTCGGAGACGAATAGGATAATCGGAAAGAAAAGAAAAAAAAAAATAAAATAAAAGAAAATTCTTGACTGGAAACTTGGAACTCGGAAATGACTTCGCTCCAACTTTTTCTCTCTTCGAATAAGATTTTTATTCCCCGTTACATCTACGAGATCTCTCTCTTGCTCCATCTCGAAAAACAATCCTTCCTTCAAACTTCATCGAATTTATACACTCGAACGGCGACGGCCGTTTTTTTTTTTGTTCTCTGCGAAATATTCGCTCTCGTTTCTTCGATCGAGAGCGAAGAGATAGAAAATATTCAAACTTGGGAAAACTTGAACTTTCTTCGATCGAATAATCTCGACTGGGCGAAAAGCATCGATGGGAAATGAATAATTTTAACGCGTCCGGATCAGTCTGTATGAGAAGCGCGTAAATCACGCGAGATTGCCCTCGCTCGGCTCGAATTTTTCCACTCGTTACCCCCGTTTGTTTTTGTCACGATGGTTTATAGGGCCGACGAAAGGGAGGGGAAGGACGTCAGAAACAGGGCGAACAAGATCCCGTCGTGTATCATTCCGCTTCAGACGGCGCAATTTCGACCGCAATTTCGAATGTGAGCAACTCGGAGGACCGCGAACGGATTAAAAGGGAGTGTAAGGGATTATCTGGGATCTGGTGGAGAATTTATGCGTCTTCGTAAGACGGTGCTTCTCCCATACCGTTCGCCCCGGAAATCGTAAAGGATTTCGCCAGGATCTTGGCGAGTTGTGCTCGCTCGTTCGCAATTTTCTTCTTCGTGTGCCTTCTCCTTTTAAAGTTTAACAGAGTTTCTTTCGAAAGTTTCGAGAGAGAGGATGAACACGATTATGACTTTGAGTCCAGTTCGTTGATATTACGTTCGAATTTTAACCAGAGAAGACCATCAAGATTTAATTCCATTAATGAATTATCATCCGACTTGGATGATAGTTAGAAAAATTCAGACGTAGGAATCTAGGCGTATTGTGTGTATACATCGTAAATTATCGGGCACATTCGCAGTATCGCAGCTAGATCCTCGCGTATCGCGAAATAACTGGTCTCTCGGATAATCCGCGGAATGGCGCGAGATAATTCAGTGGATAATTCCCAGACGGAAGTGATTACAGGCGTTGGAAGGCGACATCGGAATGATACAACGCATATTGCAATGCTGAGATTACGAGAAACTTCTCGTTATCTGATATAAACTGGCGAGACGGCGTCAAGTGCAGTGTACGCTTGAAAAAGTCGATCTCCTTTTCTTCGATTTTTATACGACTCGTTTATTGGAAATTTCTTTCAACCGGTTTAACATTATTCACTTATTTTTCTTTGTTATCTATAATTATAATTCCTCGAATAATTTTAGCGTTATCTCGAACAATTGCACTTTATCTTAATTTTAAGTCGATTGTGAAATCGAAGTTAATATATTCGATTATAATATATTCCAAGTTGAATATTGGTCACGTTTGATACTATGCGATGATGTTCGACAATAATAACCCGACCAATTGAAATACAAGTCACGTTTTATTATTCCACTCACCTTGTTGATCTGTCGTTGGAGCTTCGTGATCGTCGCCCGATCTCGTTGCGCAGCAATACGTTCTGCTTGCAATGCCTGTTCCAATTCCTGAACCCGCTCTTCCAGACTCTCCTGAAACACAAAACGATCCCTCTGGTAAGTAACTGCTCTAATATCTGTAACACTGTAAATGTACTTACAATAATTAATTTTACATTCCCAGACACACTCGTGTATTCTACTACAAATATACATTCATAATCTTTTACTACGCCTCAAAATTACTATCAACATCCGTCACGTCGATCTTGATAAAATTGGCAACATTTCTTGCAAAAAAAAAAAAGAAAAAATTCCTGAATCGAATACTATGTATACACCTTCAATTCAGGATGTCGAATTGGCTGTCCGCGTGCTCGTAATCTCCAAGTACACGTAGAGTGCACGATCTCTCGAGCAAGTTTAAAGCCCCTGTTAAGGCAGCTTAAAACTCGAGCAACAGGAATTACGAGGAGAGGAGGAGGAGGAAGGATATCCCGTTGAAAGTTTCCACTTCCGTTGCGTTTGCGGCCGCGAAAGTTAATTGAGAAACGGTCGACCGTAAGCTTCCCCCGCGATCTATGCGCGATTCCCGATCCAATCGCTGGCTAAAATCGCCCCCACGGCTTTCCCCCAAAATTAATTTCGACTACCATCCAATATTCGAATTTATTCGATTCCCCCAATTTAATTGTTTCAATTCGATCCGATCGCGTTTACACAATTTTTACCCACAATAAATTCCGATCAATTCGCGATTTATTAAACCGGTAAGATTTCACATCCATTTCGATCAAATAAGTTGGAATAAACACGAGAAAGAAATTCGATTCGTTAAAGGAACGCACCAACCTCGAACGAGCAACCTCTCCAACCTTCCCCCTTTTCACTTTTCGTCCCGGTAACCCCTCGACTTAAAGCGCGATAATAACACTCCCTCCCCTGCTTAATTTAGCAGCCCGACCGGGTATTTCCGATTATCAAAAGCGCTCTCGTTGAGCCAGCGCGGAATGCTAATGAGCGGGCTCCGAGTGGTGTTGGTCGCGATTTGACCATAAGTATCGGTGCGATCCATTAGATTGGAGGCGACGCCGCCGTTTCAGGGGGTTCCTCGAGAGCCCGGCCAACGACGACGTTTCTCGCGCCCACGCGGCGCGAGGGATGATTCGTATGCGGGTGCACGTAGCTGCAATTCACCCTTTCCAGCCCCTTCTTCCACGTCCACGTTTCACCAGCTTCCCCCTTCCTCACCCCCCGTCCTGCTATTGTTTGTCGCGAGCCAACCAAATTATACCGGGTGTGCCAACGTCTTTCTGCCCGTGCGTAAAAGAGTTTCGGTATTTCTTTCTTCCTTTTTTTTTTTTTCTCGAACGCGAGGGAGAATGCGGGAAAAGAAGGAGAGGCGAGCACTTGTTGTGCTTCGTTATTATTGGTATATTGCGTTTGCGACGAGATTTGAAAAAATTTTCATACGAAGAATATAAAAATAGGGGTGGCGATGGTTGAACGTTGAAACTTCTCTTCCGTTATTCTCTCCGTTTTTACTTCTTTGTATTATTCGTCAAGAATATCGGAGATAAATTTTATCGTACTTTTCTTGGAATTTTGTGTTTTGTTTCCACAGAAGAATTAATATTCTTAAACGAAAACGTAAAAGTAGAAGTAGGAGCGATAGCAACAATACTAACTGCGTTTATCGATAAATGAGTAGAGAAAATTGTTATTAAAGATTGGATAAAAGTGGGATTAAATTGAAAAAAAAAAATTTCGCTCGGGATTACTTCGTAATACACCCTATATAAACGGGCAAGGGGTGGATTTTCTTCACACGGATTCGGCGTATACTTGTAAATCTGTATTAAAGGGTTTTTCCAGAATGACCACGGTTGACATTATCGGGAAAGTATTGGTTTCCATTGGATTTATGGCGCGTACTATGCCGTGAATAATTATGAGTCGGAAAGGGCAGAACAAACAAGAAAAGATTTAAGGCTCGGCCAACCCTCGCTGTAATTTTTGTCTGGTTTCGTTCTGCTTGTGTATTTCCCCCCCCCCCAATTCGTTCCCCAATTTCCCCTTCGTAATGCTCGATACTTTACTCTGCCCCCTATTAATGCATTAAATAAAATAGCCCAACGTTAATTGCCTATTTCACACCTAGTTTTATAATACACTATTTCTAACTGTATCTAAGTCGATAACGGTATTTCTTTATTAAATTAAATCACGATGTTAATCATCTAAAATCCAATTTTTACGTAAGATTTCACGAACAATGAATTACTTAAAAATTGATCATCCTTCCACTATATACGAAGAAATATATAAATTACGCAAGAGAATTTACAAAAGCAACATTCGTTTCGTCGATGTAAAAATCCTCTCGACTTCGAGCAGCCACCCTTACCACCCCCTTATACCGCCAACGATATATCTTTTTTAGAGGAAAGAAAGATCATCTTTCCCCATTCACGACGTTGCAAAGATGTTGCAATTATAACAAGCCCCGACTGGCCCTTGTCCCTTCACCCTTCACGATGGACGAAAGGGCGTCACACACCACATTGGAAGACCCATAGAATTAGTACAGGGACTTCCGGGGCGTCATTTAAACTACAGAACCGCGGCGATGAGGCCACTCTATATGCAGAGATTCCGTTAAATTGCAAACGGCCATTTTCCAAGGGGGAAGGGAGGGAGAGTGACGAAAGGGAAGCAAGGGTAAGATCCTCTCGAGTAATCGCATGGTTAACTCGATCCTGGGAATCGTTTACGAGAGACGACAGCTTGTCCCGATTTTCTTATACCCTGGAGAGATCCAACATCCTTTTCCAGGGACGAATTAATTAATTCGAATCAATTTATTCGATTCGTTCGAGAAAAATTCGAAGAGGATTAATATAAACCATCATGTTGTCGAAATAGATCGATGATAGAACTCTTGTCTGCTCATCTCTGTTCATCAATCTCGAAAATGAAATTGTAGAAATTGTATTTAATTCCTCTCGATGAAAGGAAATAAATTCTCGACGAAAGTAATTATTGATCTCATTCAGGAATGAAAATAGAGAAAAGAATCGTAGAAAATGGAATAAAGCGAGAGGGTTGAGGAAGAAGGAAGGGGATGGGCGCGTTCGAAGACGAGTTTCACACCTTCGGTCGAAATTGAACGGTCGCGTCAACATCAGACAAAGGAGCGTCGCGACGTCGACGCAAATTTCCTCGACGCCCGTCGCTTTGGACGAGGCTACTGCTGCCTGCACGCACACACGCGCACCCCTCCCCCTCCTTTCCTCTCGCGAAACGATCGTAATTTCGACTAACAGCTGCTCGCCCCGACGCCTCAACGAGACACGAAACACCCTTAAATCAAGATCTTGCCTAAACACGACCGTTTCAATAGTTCGTCCTCGTTCTAGAAATAGACGACTCTTCCACGCGTATCAAATTCGCCTTATGTTACAACAAGCCCTGAAAATCGTGAGGCACCCTCACGATTACTGGTTAAAGGCGAACGTTTATTAGGACGGGACGGAAAGAATATTTTGAATTATCTCGCTTTACTTCTTTTTCTTCTCCGTTCATTTTCGAGAAAGCACTCGTTCCACATCACGTTACTCGGATGATTAATTTCAATAACGAGATGAATATCAAAAGAAAATAACAAGCAACAAATTACTTCCAATGCTGTATAATAAAACAATATATATGAATCGCAAGTCCAAAAAAGGGGACTTTCGCCCCTCGATATTCCATTAAATTCCATTAAAATTCTTCTTTCTGATAAATCGCGAATCATGTGTTCATCGCAAAGAGAGAGAGAGAGAGAGAGAGAGAGAGAGAGAGAGAGAGAGAGAGAGAGAGAGAGAGAGTAGTATAGTAACGTAACGTA